ATAAGGATAAGATTTTATCCTATTTTTAAGATAAGATAAGGATAATATTTGAAGAGAATCTTATCTTTTACAAAATGAGATAAAGATAAGATTTTATCTTTTACAAGATAAGATAAGGATAAGATTTAAAGAGAATCTTATCTTTTGAGAGAATATAGGCAATTAAATAGCAAAGATAAACTCACAATCAAACACAACTTTATCTAACCTTATTAGATAGAGATAAACTTTGAATATACCTCTTCAAAAAGATTTTTTCCAACTTCACTTCCAACTCTTTGAAATCCTCCTAATGCAAGGCAACCTTAAGTACGATCTTGATGGTTGCATTGACCGTGGAGTAGACTGTGTGTGTTCATAAGGAAATGTTTCTTAGGATCGGTATCTCCCCCATAAGCCTTTAAATCCGGAAGTTCAAACTTCTCGAGCATGGGTGTTTCTCAGATACGTTGGATGAATGGAATGTCGTCCTCCTCCTTGCGTCCTTCAGATCCAAGAACCTCACGCAGTTGTTCCTTGATGCTTGAGGATACTCAAGGCGGAGGTACATTCACTCGAGGAGGATGGGTTTCTTCTCGAGTTACAAGGTGATGTCCTCGAAAGGTGTCCTCTTTCGACAAGGTACCCAGATTGTCGACCAAGAGCTGATGCTGGTAGCTGTCGAGTTCATGAAAGCTTTTCACAAAATCTTGGAACTTGTCAAACAAGGTAGGTTGAAATTTGAAAAAGGCCTCCATGAGGTTTTGATCAAACAAACCACCAGACGGCCTGTTGGAGGATGGTTTCGCTGGAGTTGCCTGCTTGTCTTTTTCAGCGGCAGTAGCAGTTGTTTGCTGTTTTTCTAGCACCATGACGCTGGTGATGTTGCGCAGCGTAAAGCACCAATAAATTTCAGCTTCGTTTCAAGAAATTTATTTGGTTGTAAGGTCCAAACAAATCGGTCCCACTGGGCGTGCCACTTGATGAAGCTTGAATTTGTACGGTGCTTAGGACGGGCGGCGATGATGATCTAGGTGGCGGTGGACGGCCTAAAACCTGCAAGACAGAGCCTCGGGTGTCTCCCGAGGGTAAACTCTCCAATGCTTAAGTCAATAAAGGAATGGAGAGAGAGGTATGTGTATCGTGTGTAGAAGGAGTAGAACATAGGTAGAAGATATGAATTATGGGAGAGGCACCACCTCTTTATATAGAGGTGGTGTTACCTGTTTCCTGAAACCATAGTGGAATATGTTTAGGCGGTGGCTTAATCTCCAAGTAACCTAATCCTAGGCCCAATAGGCCTAGGGTTCGGTTTGGACAAGTCATGAACATTGGGTTGACAGAAGAAATAATATTGAAACAGTTGAAGCAACGGAAGCATGCTCACAAAAAATCAAAAGAAGTTAAAATAGAACCTTGCTGCATATGCCACGAAGAGAATACCAACGATGATCAACTTGGAATACTGATTTTTTTTTTTTTTACCCATTTGTAAAACAACAGCTTACGCAAAAAATTTTTTGACCCATTTATAAAACAACAAGGTTATCCAAATTATGGGCTATAAACCCTGACACTTGAATCAGTCGTCCGAATGATCAGAATGAGATGGATATGTAGCTCCTGAAAAGTATCTGAGGGATCATGTCTACCTTCTTCATTCATCACAACACTCGTTAAGAACTAAAACTTAATTAGGCTTTTGATTGGGAATAAGAAAACTATGGTTTCATCACGAACTAAAATGCAATCTTTTTCTTAATTTTTGAGACCTAAATTGATAAGTTTCTAATTATGATAAACACGTAAAAACCTATATATGATTTTTTCTCTTATCTTTTGTAAGGAAAATAAAATGTTCTTATCTAGCTAGAATCTTCTGAGGATACTGAAGTAAAAAATCAATTGACTTTTAACCTTTTTGAGGAAAACTGGAGGATATTTTTAAAAATTTTCTGACGAGTAAGCATAAAGCTCAACCCACAAAAGTAAGAGATAGACCATAGGGTAAAATACCATGTCCGGCCTGAACTGGTAAGCCAACCAACAATAGTAATAGATATAAGTTTTAGACGTTATTATATGACAACACGAACTTAAATAGTGTTTCTATTCACTTTTGTGTGAGGATTTCGTGAAAAAACTTGTTGTCAACCTTTTAGCACGTGAGATGCACTTGAATTGACTGAAGGGTATTGTGTCCCATGTAGAATTCTAATATTTGTGAAGTCACAAGCAAGTCACGTGATAGAGAAGACTCGAGTCAAATTTTTACATGGACACATAATGACCTTTTGTCAACTAACGTGCATCTAAGGTGTGACAAGGTTTATCATCAGTTTGTAACGAAATCCTACCAAAAAAAAGTGAATAGAAATACTATCTAAGTTTGTTGTATCATATAATAATATGTATGAAACTTTTACTTTTGAATGAACAAAGAAAGTATTTTTTAGTTTTATTAATATTTATGTAGGATCTACTGGACTTAGTGCCAAATGTAACAATAAGGATACAGAGAAGCAAATTGTTCAAATGGCCTAAAGGATGACAAGAATAGAATGATTGCTCATAAAAAATGTAGCAGAGGAAGGGGCTAAATTCATAGCTCTTATGAGTTATGATCCAGTAAAAGAGGAAATTTAGGGTCCAACACTTCAAGTCAATACTGTTAAAATTTTGTTCTTTATGGCAATAATAGTACTAGAAAAATAATTTGAAAATTTATTTGATTAAGAGCATTGGAAAAATTAAAATTATTAATAAGGGCATGGCTTATATTTAGTTTTTACTAGTGCTCGAGCATTCGTCGTGCGACTCACCTTATAAATAATCTGGGGTACTTAGCATTATGAGAGTAAGGTTTGTTATCAAGATTTTTTAATGTACTAGTGTTTAACATCCATCGTGTGTTATGCTACGCATCTTATTAACAATTTCGTGGGTTAATTTTTGTTTTTGTCGAAATTTTGTTTGGCATCTGATTTTATTTTATTTTTTTTTAAAATAATTATTCAACTAACTATATATTGTGGTAATAGTAAACTGTAGTAATTAGAAAAGATGGTGTAATAATTGTCATATGGCAATAGATGATGGTTAAGGTGAATAATGATGATTAGCATTGATTTTGATCAAGCATATAGCATAAGTAAAAAGAAATATAACATATAGGATGATTAATCTGTTCATCAAGTTTTAGTTTTTTCTTTTGAATAAAATAGCCCTTTACGGTTACTGTCTTTTTTTTCTTTTTAATGGTAAAGACCTCCGCCAATTTTTATTAACTCAACGAGTAATTAAGAGAATAAATATCAGAAACATGTAACCTCCCAATAGTTTGATTGAAGAAGATAATAATTTAACTTGTGATTAGTCTGGCCAATTATACATATTGAGTAATTTCCATCATTTGTATCATCTTCAATCATTTAAAGCACAATTAAACACAACCTTTTTACTATTTAACTTAACTCACAACATTTATTACTCATAAAATAACTCAAAACGTGAGGATGTTGCCCGTGATCAGTGTTGTTAAACTCGGTTCGGACTGGCCGATCGAACCGGTTTAAACCGGGAACCGGACCTTATGCCGAGCCGAGTAGGTCAGAAAATTTGCCATCAAGGACTCGGACAAATTCGGTCAATAATCCGGTTAAACCGAAAATTGGTCAAACCCGAGTCGAATCGGGTTTTGACTTTTAGCCAACTTTTTAAACATTTTTGAATTTTTTTGCACTACTTTTGAGGTGTGTTTAATATAAACTTTTCAATTTTTACCTTAAATTAGATTTTTTAAGTTACTATGATCCATTGCTTTTATATTTATATATTTAAACCCATAGTTTCAAAAGTTTGAAGTCTACATTTTTAAATTAGTCATTCATCTCACATTTCAAACATCAAATTGAGTAATACCATTGTTTGAACTAAAGTAAAATACTATAGACCAAATAAATCAAGCAATATTCATTACTTTTAAATAAAGTAAAAAAAATTACAACCAAATACATTGATTAAACATGTAATTTTATTTTCTTTATGATAAAAGTCAGTTATGTAGTAAATTTATTAATTTTTTAATTATAGTCAAAGTTAATTTAAATTATTAGTCTAGCTAATTTTATAATTTTGCTATATATAAATCTTGTTTGAAGTTATGAAACACTACTTTGACTTTAACAATTAACAAAAATATATAGAATCTATAAAATTTTATAAAATAATATATTTATTAATTTTTAATATTTATTACGTCATTATGACGTCATCTGAGTCGACTCCTAAATCGCACTGAGTCGACTCCCGAGTCGCTCGACCCCTGGCCATTGCCGAGTCGAGCTCTGGTCCGAGAGAATATAGATATCAGCTAGAAAATTTTGTCCTCTTTACCTTTCAACAAGCACAGATCATGTTTTACATCATGAACTCAGCATGCTTTGACTTTCCTGGTTAATCCTGTTTTTGCCACTATAATTTCGAAATTGGAATGTCATTCTCCTCCTGATCAAATGCCCCGAATAAAGAAACACAGATGTTAGAGGATCCGGTAATAAATGATTGTAGCTCAGTTCTAATATTTTCCTGAATCAACTTTATGGATGATTAAGAACCTGGGAATTGAACTAGAACTTTCTGCAATTAATTTCCACAAGTTTGATTCTTATTTTCCATCTCTAGCAATTCCTGCAATTGCACTGATTAAGAGAGGTAGTCCACTGAAGTTTTTGGCAATTTGCTTTCCAACTTCCAAACATTCGCGGGGACAATCGGCTTTCCCAAACACCTTCAACTTTAGCAATTTCCTCCTCGGAAAGTGGACGAAGAAGGGATTCACTGATATCTTAAAGTTTCCTTTGAAGACAACTCGTCATCAGAAGTATGCCGCCATTTGAGTCATCTGGAAATGAGAGCCTGAGACTATCCTAGGCTCTAATACTCTCACATATCATCGAGCACACTAGATATCTAATTCAACTTTCTTTACAGCAGGAACACCAAATCGATTCGCTCATTGCATGGACATTATCTGTGACAGTGAAAATGTTTCTCAAAGTTTTAAGGAGCAACTCAGTTCTTTTATATGTCTCTACAAAACAACAAACCACGAGCGAATAGGCAGGATGGCAAAACTAGGACAAGCAACCATATTTTTGGCTAAAGGAAGTCTTACCAATGCTGGGCATCCTAACTCTGACCTTATGCATAACAGCGGTGTACCTCTAGTAAGTCGATCGGTTATCTTTTTCCTATGGTCCAGGTCAATCATAACTTGATGAATTTGACACAATGAGTATATTAGAGATGATGATTTGGAAGTTATGCTTCGGGAAGTTTTTGCTCATCCAGGCGTTGAAGGTATTATATATACTCTTTGGTTTTTGAGAATTGAACATGTTTAGAGAAAATTCACACTTAGTGAATGCAAAAGGTGATATCAATGAAGCCGGTCGAAGATACCTCACCCTCAAGAATGAGTGGCTTACTCGGGCTCATGGTCACATTTATGGACATGGACAATTCTCCTTTTGAGGATTTTATGGTTCTTACGAACTGGAAATTATAAGTGCAACTATAAATGCTACTACGACTTTTGTTGTTGAAAAGGGCAATGATCTGCTTGTAATTAGTGTGAATCTATAACTATGTTACCCAGACTCGGGTATGAGTGTCGGGTAGGACATGGGATCTAAGTATTGGACTCGTAAATTTTGTAAAACTAGGGTATGTAGGTATCGATTTAGACACGGGTGCGGGTACAGAAATACTTCTTTAACTAAATAATCCAATATAATTGTGGTTTATATAGATCATTTATAGTTTAACATTTATAACATTATATTCATGTGTGGGTAATTCAGTATCCAATCTAGTATAGTCTAGAGACAATAATAACGTAAATGCACAATATTATTTTAACTCATTAAAATTGATTAAGTGTATAAAGACAAAATTGGGGAAAAGTTTGTGTTTTTGTAAAAGTGAGGGATCAAATTGCTAACAAGAAACTAATTAGCAGCACTTTAGGTAAAATAGAAATGGGTAGTTCTTGGGGATGGATTTTAAAGCCCCCAAAATTAGTACTCAAAGCCACCCTGAATAAAATTGGACAATTTTGCCCCTGTCATTTAATACAGTAGAGAAAAAAAGAAAATGAGTAATTCAGAGGTTAAAAAGAAAAACTTAAAAAGGAACCGAACCGGTCAAGAAAACCGTCCCGGTTGAACCGGAGACGCGCAACAAACGTTCCGGCCATTGAACCGGATGCGTACATTGCGCGTCCCCGGTTCAACCGGGATGTGTGTGTTGCGCGGCCGGTCCGGGTGAAATCAGACCGGACGCGCAACACACGCGTCCCGGTTGAACCGGGGACGCGCAATATACGCGTCCGGTTCAATGGCCGGACGCGTTAAGCACGCGTCCTGGTTGAACCGGGGACGCGCAATGTATGCGTCCGGTTCAATGGTCGGACGCGTTTGTTGCGCGTCCCCGGTTCAACCGGGACGCGTGTGTTGCGCGTCCTCGGTTGAACCGGGTTTTTTTTTAATTTTTTTTAATTTTAATTTCATGCATGTTATCTTAATTTATTTGTTAATTTAATTAGTTATGTTAAGTAATTTAATTAGTTTAATTATATTTAGTTATTGCATGTTATGTAAATAAATTAAGTAGGAATATTTTTATTTTATTTGTTAATTTAATTAGTTATGTTAAGTAAATTAATTAGTTGAATTATATTTATTTATTGCATGTTTTGTTAATTAAATTAAGTCAGAATATTATTATTGTATATGTTAATTTAATTAGTTATGTTAAGTAATGTAATTAGTTGAATTTTATTTATCTATTTAGATTTAATTAATTAGAGATACTATTTATTTAGGGGGGAATAATTAAATAATTAAAGAATTTTGTGGAATAAGTATTTAATTTAGTAAATAATTAATCTATTTAATTAATCGCTAAATTAATGAATTCTAGCTTTTTAGGTAGGTATTGGGAAATTTAATTTAGTAAATAATTAATCTATTTACTGTAAATATATGTTTTTTTATTATTTATTATAATTGTATAACTTTTTTAAATGATTGGAATATGTGTTTAATTTAATTTATTATGATGTAGTTTTTTATTGTTGTAATTTTATGTTTAATTTGTAGGATTCTTTAGAAGATTTTGGTGGCGATGGTGAAGATTATAGTATATTGTTTGCTACAGATGAGGAATTTGCAAAAAAGGATGGTGTTGTTGCTTGGGTGAAAGGCATGGGTATGGCAAATGGTATGCTAATAAATGTAGTTTCTAGCAAGAAGAAGAATGCTGTTCTGATGAGATGCTATAAAGGGGAAAGGTGTCAGTTGATGATGGTGAATACTATGTCACATCAGATTCGAAGACACAAATCACTGGGTGTAAATTTAAGTTATATGTGCACTTAGTGGATGGGAAGTGGCGCATTCGGGTGTATCCTGGTGAGTTTGGAATGCATAACCACGAGCTGTTTGACGAAGATCATCCCACGAAGGGCCTTAGCGATGGAGAGAAACAGCTTATACAGGGTATGTCCAAAGATGGGTGCAGACCGTGTCAGATCATGGCTGCAATTGAGAGGATCTTTCCTGATGAAAAAGTTAACAGACGGCAAGTGTACAATTTCAGGAAGAAATTGCGTAATGAGGGGTTCCCGGTATTGGGTGAATCGAGTGCCATGGATGTCGCGACGAAGACACTATCAGTGGCCAAGCATCATGGTTACATCATCATGATAGATTGCAATCAGGAGACAGGTGTGCTGACTCGTGTTTTTTTTGCACATCCTGATGCTGTCAATTTATTTTGCAGTTATTTCTGGGTCGTCGGGATAGACTCAACATACAAGACGAACAAGTACAAAATGCCGTTGGTTGAGTTTATTGGGATGACACCGTGCAACCAGAACTTCCTGATTGCATACGCCCTCTTGAGTGACGAGACTGCTGACAGTTATTATTAGGCTTTGAGAAAGTTTTGGGATTTGCTACCTGGTCATCTATCTCCGGCTGTAATTGTTACAGATTGGGAACCGGGGTTGATGGCGCCGCTGGGTATGGTATTTCCATATTCATGCCACTTGTTGTGTGTTTGGCACGTTTATGAGAATGTAAAGTGACATCTCAACAAGGAATTGAAAATTGATGCCAAGATTGCAAATGGTTTTACATATGGGTTGTGGAAAGACGTTGTGGAATCTAATAATCAGGATGAGTACAATAAAGCTGTTGCCGTAATAAATCGTCGTTGGCAGTCTTTTCCGAGAGTTCTTACTTATATCCAGAAGACATGGCTAGTGGTTGACTACAAATTCATCAAGGCATGGACGAATGCTGTGTTTCATATGGGCAACACTACTACAGGTAGGGTGGAGAGCGCGCACAAGCAGTTAAAAACCTGGCTGGAAACATCCACGGCGTCACTGGATACACTTTGGGCTAAGGTGCACTTGGAAATTCAGAGTCAGCTAACCAAAATACGATAAGTTCTATTCCATTATATTAGAAGTTATATTTATTACAATATATTTAGTATTTATTTTGTTTTTATGGCATTTTACGTAGAATGTTTTACAGTAAGTGGCTACATTCAGGTACAAACTGGAGTACTCAAGACAGAAAATTGGCACCCATTATTGCGGTTTTCCACTGAACCGCTTGAAATGTCAAGTTTCACATACTTGTTTGCAAAAGCTGAACACTGAGTGGTTGAAGGCGCAAGAGTGGAAAGAAGAAACGAATGACCGATGCGATCATGTGGTGTACTGGACTTGTCGAATTCCATGTGCGTGCGTCCTCAAAAAAGCTGCAGATACCGGCACATCGATAACTCTTAAGCATATTCACCCATTCTGGGCGACCCTTAATATCGGTGAACAGGCTGGTACGAGTGCTCCTAGCGATGTGGATGACGAGGTCCTTTATACCAGACAGTTGATGGAAGGGCTGAACGAGTGTCCTAAGGCAGTACAACGTACTGTAAATAGGGTTCTCCACGATATTATGCATCCAGACCAGTGTGGGTTCAAACAACCCGAGGAGGTCAAGAGAAGGAAGGGGCGGCCTAAGGGGGCTAAATCAAAGAAAAAAGCAGAGGCCAACACTCTTGCCCATGAACAATCTTCACAGAAAAAAAAGCAACTCCTAATGTGTGGGATTACAGGGACGAGGTGCAAGGAAAGTCAACCACAGTTACTAGCGATTCAAGTAAGAAGCGCCCCTCGTCTTCAGGTGGTCGTACAGATGCATCCATGGGTATATGTTAAGAAGTAATTGTTCAGAATATTCTTTATTTATTATCAATTATTCCAAATAACATTGTTTCCGTGTAATGTACAGAGATCTTTGCGAGTGATATTTCACAGTATGGTTGCTACGACCTCATTCCATGGTCCATTCGGCCATATATTACCAGTTACCTTGATGTTGGTGCCGATGGCAATTGTGGATTTCGCGTAGCCGCGAGTAACATGTTTTTGAGCCAGGACAAGTGGGCGATGGCAAGAGAGGCAATGGCGAACGAGCTAGAACAGAATTGGCATCTGTACACTAGAATCTACGGGTATAAATGCTTTTCATTTTCTATGTTATGATGTTTGCTGAACTTGGCAGTATTTTGCACAAATAAATGTATATGTAAATGCAGGACGTCCTGCCAGGAAGAAGTCCATCGTATACGGTGGAGTGGACAGGGTTTCGCACCTGAGCGCCATTGGATGTGTGTGACGGACTTGTTCGTAGTTGCGACTATGAACAATGCAATTGTGTACTATTACGGTGCAGGGGAAGAGACCCAGTCGCTAAACTCTACATGTTGGACTATACTACCTGTCACTGCACGCGGTGAGGCAACATGTCCGGCATTTGAGATTGGGGTATGTCACCATGGTATTTACAAGCACTTCATTCGGATCAATTTGGACGGTGACTTTCCAGTTCCACCGATCCATAATCGGTGGACTAAGGAACATCAGCCTAGCGTTACTGGTTGGGAATTACCACTTCTTCCTAGAATTCAAGATTGGTATAGGTTGGTCCCCTCCAATCATGGACGTCCTATCGGGGATTATGCTAATGATTTCATTGATCTTAGTTTCTTATATTAGATTCATGTTTGTTTGTTTGTTGTGAACTAGATATTGGTATTATCTAGTATCTAATTTGTTTGTTTTTTTTTATTTGTGAAATAACGAACCTTGTTGGCCATACTAGCAAAAAAAAAACCTTACTACACGGACACCAAATAAGCTAACTAATATATAACACACAATTCCATCATACCATAAAAAAAAAAAAACTAAATGCAGTCCAAGAGAGAGAAAAACAAACAAATCCAGTCCAATAATACAACAATGATCATGGGTCCTTGTAATAACGGATCATCGTATCCTGCAGCTTCTCATCATATTCGTCAGCCAGGTCGCGATCGGACACTTTGACCTTTCTAATCAGGTCCCTCGTCAGCTTCCTCAATTCATTCATCCACTGAAAACACAAAAACCAAAAAAGGTTAAACTATTTATAATATAGAAATGTATGTCTACAAAAACTCAAAAATTAAAAATACAACTTACATAATCCTGACTGCTCCTAGCTGGTGTAGAGACTGCAGATGGGTCAGTTGTCGGCAGCAGAAATGGATGTGAATACTGCCTGTACCTTGCAAGGTACCCATCCTCACACTCTCCTACGAAGTCACCGATATTGGGTCGCCATCTGGTCAAATTAAGACACGCTGACTCCGAGAATCTCCTCCAAGTACTGAGTGTGTCAACAGCAGAATGTTGTACAAAGTACTGGGTAGTCTTGGGTCCTCGGAATGCATCATCAGGGGACATGGGCGAACGAGGAATGCTTTGTACGTAGCCAATCTGACGTATACATCTGTCTAGCATGTATGGCTCCTGCAAGTTCCTATACGTTATCCACCCACTGTAGATAGTCCTAGGAACTATTCCTTGTTGGCCAGGTCCAAATGGCTCCCACTTTACCTGCAAAATAGTATTTAGATTATTTATAAATATAATTTTCAAAAAATAAAATGAAATACAGTCAAATGAAGCAATCAAGTACCTCTAACTCGGTGAAACGGTCGAGACGCTCCCTAACCTGACGAAGACGATCTGTCACAGATGTCAGCCCCAAAAAAGATGGTGGTATCCAGTCATGTACTCTGGGCCTGTCATTACCCCCACGGGTAACTCGCCCTCCCTGGGGGCGGAAAATCGGGAAATACTCGTATATCCAGGCCTGCAGTAGGGTCAAATAACCACCTAACTGAGTGCAATTTGCCCTACTAGCCATCCCTAACTGACGGTATAGGAACGCAAGCGTAGCAGAGCCCCACGAATATGAACCCATATCCTCGATCCCAGCCATAAGCTCATGTACAAGTGAAACACTGCACCTCCCATCACTCTTGCCCATGAACAACGTCAAGGCCAACAATACCCACAAGAAAGCAGAGGCCTGGGTATTCTCGTCCGCTTTCTGGCATCGCTCAAAGATGAACCAATCAGAGACACCGCCATGACTCCATAACCATTCACATCGAGGCCAAGTATCCCTGCTGCATGTCTCCTCAACAAATCTTTCTCGGACGTAGCTGACACCAACTCTCCATCGACCCCAATGCCCAAAATATGATAAACATCATGCATCATGATGGTCATCTCCCCAAACGGGAAATGAAATGAGTTGGTGTCCGGCTGCCACCTCTCAACAAATGCCTGAACTAAGCCAAGATCAATATCTTCATACGAGGTATGAAGAAGGTGACCCAATCCAGTCCCCCGAATCTTGCCTCTCACTACATCATCCATATCTTTATACCACATCTTCAACTTATTCAGAATTTTTTCGCCTTTAAAAATTTTCAATGTGGGTCTATTGTACCCATGCCATAAATGATAAGCAATATGCCCAAGGAAGCTAGGAATCACGCTACCATCTATCGCCCCTCCAGGTACTTCATCTGTCACTAGCCATGTAGTCGGATCAATTTCATCAGAAACTCTCGACTGGCTGCTGCCGCCTGTACCATGAATGAGTAAGCCAAATATTATTTATTACATTTTATACACATACAACAATTCAATAAATATAAGTAAAAATAATTAATTAAAAATAATTACAGAATATTAAATAATTACAACAATTAAATATAGATATTTGGTACCTGATGATGCAGTAGTGGTAACTGGACGTGTAGATACTCCAGTGGATCCGGGACATCGGCTAGGGCCCACGGGATCAATGAGAGGGGGAGGACGTGTAGATACTCGAGCGAAGACGGAACCTCCGCGAGGGGGCACGGGATCAATGTAGGGGGGAGATGCCTGAGCGGGGCGGGGGGGACGAGGCTGACTACCGGTGGATATACCCTGTGGGAATTCACCCGGATGCGGGAAAGAGGGACTATGATATGGATTGCGCCACTCACCACTCATAGGAGAAGGGATAGGGGTAGGGGGAGAGGGTAAACCGCGAGGACCAGGCCGGGGACAACTGGAGTACCGAGGAGGAGGGTAACTACTAAGATTGTACATAGACGTATCTCTGTGATGTGCACCCATCCTAACACTGTCCTGCACATCATCCTCATCAAACTCATTCTCCTCATCCTCCTCATCCTCATCCCCCTCTTCCAGGTCGTCCTGAGAATACTCGGGTACATGAATCGGCTGACTAGACCGAGTCTGAAGCGGTACACCCCCCATAGTGACCTGAGTCATTTTCATTCGCTTCTTTTTCTCTTTTTCCTCTTTTTTCTTCCGACGACTCATGGTCAGATAACGCACACGAACCTTACGCTTACTACTATCTTCAGTATCACTAGTATCACTATCATCATCATCATCACAATAAACCTATAAACAAAATTTTATTCATCGTCATCATATTTTCATAGTCTAAACAAATAATTATACACATATCCTAAATCCTAAATAGTTTAATAATTAAGTACAATTCATATAATAATTAAGTAAACTAAAGTACTTTACCAAATTTTTAATTAAATTACTATTTAATTAATTAAAAATACTCAACTATTTTGCAAAATATTTCTATTAATTTAATTAATCATGAACTACTTTACACACAATTTAAATTAGCTTTACTAATCTACTATTACTTAAATTATAAATAACTTAATCAATTAAACTAATTAGGTAGTGAACTAATTTACTATTATTGAAATTAGTTTTTAATATTCAACTAATTTACATACTATTTAAATTAATTTAATCAATCAAAATGAGTAACTTTACTAATCTACTAATAATTAAATTAAAAATATAACCTAAATACTTTAATGTCTAATTAAATTAATGAGTAAATCAATTAAACTAATTAGGTAGTGAACTAATCTACTATTAATTAAATTAGTTTTTAATTCAACTAATTTACATACTATTTAAAATTAATTTAATCAATTCAAATGATTAACTTTACTAATCTACTAATAATTAAATTAAAAATATAACCTAAATACTTTAATACTTTAATAACTATTTAAATTAATGAGTAAATCAATCAAACTAATTAATGAACTAATCTATTATTAATCAAATTAAATTATTTACACAATTAAATTAAATAACCAATCTAAATCACAAACTATTAATTAATAAAAAACTACTTACTAACCCTAATTACATTAAATCAAACATAATTAAACACTAACATTGAATTAAACAAATTAAAAAAAAATTAACATTCCGTCGCCGGCCGGCGGCGCGACCGGGATGCGCTAGAAACGCGTCCCGGTTCAACTCGGAACGAGCAAACCGCCCGTTCGGGTTGAACCGGACGCGCGTTTCGCGCGTCCCGATCGCGCCGCCGACGCCTTCCTGGCCGTCCGCGGTCACACAACAAAAAAAAAAATCCTTCCCGCCGGACGGGCGTCTGGCGGCACGACCGGGACGCGCAAGCAACGCGTCCCGGTTCAATCCGGAACGGGCTTTTTGCTCGTTCCCGTCTGAACCGGGATGCGTTTCTTGCGCGTCCCGGTCGCGTCGCCGGACAGCTTCATTGCCCGTCCGGCGGCCAGAAAGTTTTTTTTTTTTTTCTTCAATTCACAAATTTTTTTTTAAAAAAAAACGTACCCGTGATGAGATCGGCTCTTTCCCACTTTGATTCTTCCGTGTTGCCATCAATTTTGGATCAAATTAGACTTCAAAATAGGGTTTAGAAGGGTGGTGGCTTCAAGTTTTCTCTCTTTTTCCTTTGGTGGAAGTTTGAAATGTGAGGGGCAAAATGGTCCAAAAATATTTATGGTGGTTTCAAGTAGTAAAGATGGTGGCTTCAAAAACTAACACCCTTTAAAGAATATGGACCAACTCTGCAATTTATATAATTTTATAAAATTGGAGGCTTCTTCCTCAAATTCAGTCGCACTGCAACTCACCGCCGACCAAAGTAAAAGCCAATCACCTCAGCCCCTAATGGCCGGATCTCTTCTCCCTCAATTTGCCTTACCCATACCCATGACTGAGAATAAAAGGCGGAACCACCAACCGAAGTACTTTTATGGTGCTTGCCAAAAAGTCAACGCACCCAACTTCGGCTGACCGGATCCCGTACAGATTCCTCACCCGTGTCGGTGCCGACTCGTGTCGACACGGATATGGAGGCCTAAACAGCCGAGTCCGGGTAATAGAGATCTATAGTGAATTTGACACCTCATATCCATGTTAGTAGCTATTGCTATTTGAACATTATATCTCTAAATTAAAAAGGAATATCAACAAATATCGACTGATCATTATAATTCTGCTATAAAAAAACTTGTGTATCACATTACGTTGGACATCCTTTTCCATGGCATAGAGTATCAAGATCGGGAAATTGAAATGTGAAAATTGTAATTCGGGCTCCGAGACAGATAGAAAAATGAAATGAAATGAGGATATGCATAATTCCATAGTTGTGTCACTGACTCCATGAAATCACAAGACTGTTTAGCTTGGGAGGCAGGCGGCCAATGTTTTATCTTGATAAACAACGTGTTTGACCCTTTTGTTTGAGGAAGAATTATTCTAGTTGTAAGTTTTGAAGCCAGCTTCATCAACTCCATTGCTGGAAATAGCGGTAACCAACTGCTAATCAAACTCAATTCCCATCTAACCAACCTCACTAGCAACCACCGGTTTTTAACGAAATTGACAACCCAGATGTCTATTCAAGGAGTACGTTGCTATCAGCGTGTACAAGGCTCGGGGATATTTCATATGCTTGTGAGGTGTTCGATCAAATGCCGCACAGAGGTGTGGCTATTTGGAATGTCATGATCATGGGTTGTGCGGAGAATGGGTGTGATGACCTTGCCTTGAGTTTGTTTGTAAAAATGCATTTTTTGGGTGTCAGGCATGATAACTGTAGTTTGGCTAGTGTTTTGAGTTTGTGTTCTCCCGAGCTCTTGGACCTCGGATTGCCATTGCACTCCCTGATTATCAAGACTGGGCTGCTGGCTAGAGCTTCAGTTTTGAACTCTCTGCTTACCATGTACTTCTCTTGCCAAAGAGTTGATGATGCTTTTGGAGTTTTCGAAGAGGGGGGAGCTTTTCAGTTTGACCAGGTAACTTATAATGCAATGATTGCTGGTCTAGTAGGCATGGAAAGAGATAGAGATGCCATCCTCATGTTTAAGAATATGCGAAATGCCGGTCTTTGGCAAACCAAGTGGACTTTTGTTAGTATAATGGGTTCGTGTTCTTGTTCAATGGAAGCAATTCAAGTTCATGTGCAAGCTGTGACAATGGGGTTTGAAGACTCTACTTCAGTGAGTAATGCTACAATAACTATGTAAGCAAATTGTGGAAATTTGAATGATACTTGGATTATCTTTGAGAGGTTAAAGGAGAAAGATATCGTGTCATGGAACTCCATGATAACCAGTTATGTACAACACAATTCCGGTAGAGAGGCATATTTAGTCTATTTGGAAATGCCAGGTAAAGATATCAAGCCGGATGAGTTCATGATTGGAAGCTTATTAGTCGGCTCAGAGGGTCTTGAAGTTGTGGAGATTATTCATGCTATTGTTATAAAAGATGGGCTTGTTCTGAAGGGGGAGGTTTCCAAGGCATTGCTTCCTGCATATTCTAGGCCTGGTTGCATTGATCAAGCTTTCCAAATATTCAGTTATTTGAATCCCAGAAATTTGATTTCCTGGAATACTGTAATTTCTGGGTATCAATCGAATGGATTGCCTACAGAGGGTTTGAGGCTATTTTCTCAGCTTGTAGCGTCTGGGATCATTCCTAATACTTCTACTCTCTGCATTGCTCTGAATATCTGTGCTGGTACCTCAGCTCTACGGCCTGGGAAGCAGGTGCACAACTACATTTGCTTGACGGGATTCTTTCGTGAGACATCCTTGAATAATTCTCTTATTACGCCAAGTGTGGCAATCTGGATTGGTCGCCAAAGATTTTTCAGAAAATGAGGGGGAAAGCCACAATAACATGGAACTCGATGATATCTGCCTATAAGCAACGCGGTGAAGGTTGGAAGGCTGTGCGTTGTTTAGAGATGATGCAACACTGTGAAGTTAGACCAGATGCAGCAACCTTTACGGCAGCTCTTTCAGCTTATAGCCATTCGGGTTTAGTCTCTGATGGTTGTCGAATCTTCAACTGTATGGTTGGTACATACGGAATTGAGCCAGATGTGAACCATTTTTCTTGCATCATTGATCTTCTAGGTCGAGCTGGTTTTCTTGACGAGACTGAAACACTGATAAGCGGCAAACACATCGAGATAGATTCAAGTGCGTAGTGGACGTTATTTAGTTCTTGTGCAGCTCATGATAACTTAAGGCTAGGAAGAATAGTTGCCGGCATTCTGCTCGAAAATGAACAGCATGACCCTTCGGTGTATATGCTTCTGTCGAATATATATATATGCAGATGCAGGGGAGTGGAAAGAGTCCGCAAATTTAGGAGAATTGATGAAGATGCAGGGTGCTGAAACAACCTGGAAGTAGTTGGATCAGGTCATAGATTCAAATGTTTTCACGTCAATATTATATATTTTTTTCATTGAATATTTAGAGTATTTCACTATAATTAGCTATGAAAGTTTAAAAAAATACAGTGAAACCTTAGTTTAAAATAAGAATCCCCAAGTCCCACCACCTACTTGCGCTCTGATATTATACATTGGTCATAGGAGATATATATGCTTCTGAGCTATGTAGGTTTGTCGTGTCAACGATGGTGGACGAATTCAATTTGCTTCAAAATTTAAACAAGACTGAGTTGTACATCTCGTATTATTGAAGCAAGAACAGTTTGTAAAGGAGCCGCAGCCGCCCATGTTGTATTATTATTTTTTATCTTGATTTTTTTTTAAAGCCAAAATTATCACACATGGATTTTAGTTCAAGTTGCAGTTAGAATATGTTTCATAGTGTGGGGAGTATCATGACACAAAATAGGCCAGAAAACTACATATTAGTTGCGTGTATAACTGTTTATATATGTGATTAGATTCAGTAGAGTTTCTGATCAGTCAGTGAATAGTTATCATTCTTAATGCAACACAACAAACATGTTGATCCATACTTCAGTTTTGAAACTTGTCTTGCTAGCTTTTTGCTCCTATCTTTTCCTTGTTTGGATTGCAATTGATGCTACTAATCCAATGATCAATCCTAGAAAAAGTTGCATTGATTTCGATCCCTTGCACAATTCAGACCACCCATCTGAAGAAGGGAACATCATCTCGAATTCGAACTTCAGTGACGGCCTCAACCATTGGTCAGGAAGAGGCTGCAAGATTGTTTTGCATGAAACGATGGCTGATGGCGGAATTGTTCCACATTCTGGTAACTTTTTCGCATCCACTACGCAACGCACTCACTCTTGGAACGGGATACAGCAGGATATAACTGGGAAATTACACCGGAAGCTTGTTTATGAGGTTGATGCTGCTGTCCGAGTATTTAGTAACAACGTCAATACTACTACTGCAGAAATTCAAGCCACCTTGTACTGGATCAATCAGTCTGACGATCAGCATGAAAATTATATGGAGATTGCACGGTAAGTTTCACTCTATTGTAATATAAGTAATAAGCATTTCATCAGTGGATAGAGTTAAAAAAAAAACAAAACACTGACTTCTCTGTTTCCTCAGAGTGCAGGCAACCAACAAAGATTGGGTGCAGATGAAAGGGAAATTTGCAATAAATGGTTTCGCTTCGCGAGTCATCATATTTTTACAAGGTCCTCCTCCAGGCAACGATATCCTACTCAGTAGCTTTGTTTTGAAACATGCAGCTAAAGAAACTCCTTCTCCTCGTCCAATCATTAAGGTAAAATTCTAAGTTCTTAACAATCTGGTCTTATAAAGTATGTATCGTCTTTCATTTTAGTTCAACTTGCTATGGTTGATTGTTTTGCAGGATCCAGGATATGGTGTCAATATAATTACGAATAGCCACCTTAATAAAGGATCATTATATGGGTGGTTTCCATTTGGTAACTGCAGCCTTAGTGTTGGAACAGGCTCACCCCTTGTTCTTCCTCCCATAGCCAACGCGTCCCTTGGAGCTCATCATCGTCAGCCATTAAGCGGTCGATACATAATTGCGAAAAACCGTAAAGAAAAGACTACGGGACCAGCTCAGATGATCACAGACAAGGTTAAACTCTATCTTACATATCAGGTATCTGCATGGGTTAGAATTGGTCATGCAGGTTCAGGGAATTCTAGTACTCCTCAGACTGTGAACCTTGTTCTTAGTGCGGATGATCAGTTGGTCAATGGAGGACAAGTCGAGCTAGTTGATGATGGGTGGCACGAAATTGCTGGTTCTTTTCGAATTGAAAATGAACAACCAGCTGCTAAAGTAATGGCTTGGATTTTGGGTCCTGATCCTGGGGTTGACTTGATGGTTACTGGAGTCCAAATATTCCCTGTTGACAGGCAGGCAAGGTTCAAATTCTTAAGGAAACGAACAGATAAGGTCACTCTCCCTCTTGTCTTGTTGATTTTGCATTAAAAAGTTTTGTGATTCAAGCTATAAACAAACTCCACTTGTACATGCTTCTCTATATGCAGATACGGAAACGTGATGTAGTGTTAAGATTATCAGCACCAGACTCAGGGAGCAGTTTACTTGGCACCTTAATCAGAGTCAAGCAGACTCAAAATAGCTTCCCGTTCGGATCTTGTTTGTTGAGAACAATCATTGACAATGAGGTCCTGACAAATTTCTTCCTTAAAAATTTTAATTGGGCCGTCTTTGGGAACGAATTGAAGTGGTTCTGGACGGAGCCTGAGCAAGGAAAGTTCCACTACAAAGATGCCGATGAGCTTTTGAATTTCTGCGCCAGCCACAACATTCAAGTTCGGGGGCATTGCATCTTCTGGGAGGTTGAGAGTAATGTTCAAGATTGGGTGCGCAATTTGAATAAAAGTGAGTTGATGGTTGCAGTTCAAAACCGTTTAACGGGGCTCCTTGCACGCTACCAGGGGAAATTTGCGCACTATGATGTGGACAATGAGATGTTGCATGGTTCGTTCTATCAAGATCGGCTAGGTCAAGATGCGCGCGCCTACATGTTCAGGACCGCACACCAGCTAGATCCATCCGCTACTTTGTTTGTGAATGATTACCATATCGAGGATGGATCGGAGTCCAAGGCATCCCCAGAGAAGTACATTAACCAAATAGTTGATCTCCGGGAACAGGGCGCCCCTGTTGGAGGAATAGGAATCCAGGGACATATAAGTAATCCGGTAGGGACTATAGTGCATTCTGCGCTAAATAAAATGGCTACTGTTGGCCTGCCAATATGGTTCACTGAACTTGATGTGGTTTCTAACAATGAGTATATTAGAGCTGATGATTTGGAAGTTATGCTTCGGGAAGTTTTTGCTCATCCAGCTGTGGAAGGTATTATACTGTTTGGTTTTTGGGAATTGAACATGTTTAGAGAAAATTCACACTTAGTGAACGCAGAAGGTGATATCAATGAAGCCGGTCGAAGATACCTCGCCCTCAAGAATGAGTGGCTTACTCGGGCTCATGGTCACATTGATGGACATGGGCAATTCTCCTTTAGAGGATTTCATGGTTCTTACGAACTGGAAATTACAAGTGCAACCATAAATGCCACCACGACCTTTGTTGTCGAAAAGGGCGATGATCCGCTTGTAATCACTGTGAATCTATAGTGAATTTAACACCTCATATCCATGTTACTAGCTATTGTTATTTGGACATTATGTATCTAAATTAAAAAGGAATATCAACGACTGATCATTATAATTCTGCTATAAAAAAAAACTTGTGTATCACATTACGGTTGGACATCCTTTTCCATGGTATAAAGTACCAACATCAGGAAATTGAAATGTGAAAATTGTAATTCGGGCTCCGGGACAGATGGAAAAATGAAATGAAATGAGGATATGCATAATTCTTCCATAGTTGTGTCACTGACTCCATGAAATCACAAGATTGTTTAGCTTGGAAGGCAGGCGCCCAATGTTTTATATTGATAAACCACGTGTTTGACCCTTTTGTTTGAGGAAGAATTGTTCTAAATTTGTAATTTTTGAAGCCAGCTTTGGCAATTTTCATGTGATCAAAAGTGTAAACTATAATAAGGGTAATAATGGCGCATCATTTTTTCAATGCCAAAAAAAAGGAAAAAAGCATCATCTTTTGTCTTTTTTGGAAAAATATCGACTCATTTATAAGTTTAAACTCTGGAGGCATCATAACTCACCTAGTTTTAGGATACTGTATGATTTACGCCATTGGTGCAGGGCTCATCGTCTTCCCTCACGCTGCGAATACTCTGCTTTCGCTCTACTCAAAATCACAAGACTTGAGATCAGTGAAGCTGGTTTTTAACGAAATTGACAACCCAGACGTCTATTCGTGGAGTACGTTACTGTCAGCGTGTAAAAAGCTCAGGGATATTTCATATGCTTGTGAGGTGTTCGATCAAATGCCACACAGAGGTGTGGCTATTTGGAATGCCATGATCTCGGTTGTGCAGAAAATGGGTGTGATGACCTTGCCTTGAGTTTGTTTGTAAAAATATATTCTTTGGGTGTCAGGCATGATAACTGTAGTTTGACTAGTGTTTTGAGTTTGTGTTCTCCCGAGCTCTTGGACTTCGGATTGCAATTGCACTCCCTGATTATCAAGACTGGGCTGCTGGCTAGAGCTTCAGTTTTGAACTCTCTGCTTACCATGTACTTCACTTGCCAAAGAGTTGATGATGCTTTTGGAGTTTTCGAAGAGGGGGGAGCTTTTCAGTTTGACCAGGTAACTTATAATGCAATGATTGCTGGTCTAGTAGGCATGGAAAGAGATAGAGATGCCTTACTCATGTTTAAAAATATGCGAAATGCCGGTCTTTGGCCAACCAAGTGGACTTTTGTTAGTATAATGGGTTCGTGTTCTTGTTCAATGGAAGCAATTCAAATTCATGTGCAAGCTGTGACAATGGGGTTTGAAGACTCTACTTCAGTGAGTAATGCTACAATAACTATGTAAGCAAATTGTGGAAATTTGAATGATGCTTGGATTGTCTTTGAGGTTAAAGGAGAAAGATATCGTGTCATGGAACACCATGATAACCAGTTATGTACAACACAATTCCGGTAGAGAGGCATATTTAGTCTATTTGGAAATGCCAGGTAAAGATATCAAGCCGAATGAGTTCATGATTGGAAGCTTAATAGTCGGCTCAGAGGGTCTCGAAGTTGTTCAGATTATTCATGCTACTGTTACAAAAGATGGGCTTGTTCTGTAGGTGGAGGTTTCCAACGCATTGCTTTCTGCATATTCCAGGCATGGTTGCATTGATCAAGCCTTCCAAATATTCAGTTATATGAATTCCAGAAATTTGATTTCCTGGAATACTGTAATTTCTGGGTATCAATGGAATGCATTGCCTACAGAGGGTTTGAGGCTATTTTCTCAGCTTGTAGCGTCTGGGATCATTCCTAATACTTCTACTCTCTGCATTGCTCTGAATATCTGTGCTGGTACCTCAGCTCTACGGCCTGGGAAACAGGTGCACAACTACATTTGCAAGACGGGATTCTTTCATGAGACATCCTTGAATAATTCTCTTATTACCGTATGCCAAGTGTGGCAATCTGGATTGGCGTCAAAGATTTTTCAAAAAATGATGGGGAAAGACACAATAACGTGGAACCCGATGATATCTGCCTATAAGCAACACGGTAGGGAGGCTGTGCGTTGTTTTGAGATGATGCAACATTGTGAAGTTAGACCAGATGTAGCAACCTTTATGGCAGTTCTTTCAGCTTGTAGCCATTCGGGTTTAGTCTCTGATGGTTGCCGGATCTTCAACTCTATGGTTGCTACATACGGAATTGAGCCAGATGTGGACCATTTTTCTTGCATCATTGATCTTCTAGGTCGAGCTGGTTTTCTTGACGAGACTGAAACACTGATAAGCGGCAAGCACATCGAGATAGATTCAAATATGTGGTGGGCATTATTTAGTTCTTGTGCAGCTCATGGTAACTTAAGGCTAGGAAGAATAGTTGTCGGCATTCTGCTTGAAACTGAACAGCATGACCTTTCGGTTTATGTGCTTCTGTCGAATGTATATGCAGGGGATGGAAAGAGTCCGCAAATGTACAAGAATTGGTGAAGAAATGCAGGGTGCTGAAACAACCTGGAAGTAATTGGATCAGGTCATAGATTCAAATGTTTTTACGTCAATATTATATATTTTTTCATTGAATATTTAGAGTATTTCACTATAGTTAGCTATGAAAGTTTAAAATAAATACACGAAAAGGAAAAAGTGAAACCTTAGTTTAAAATAAGAATCCCCTAGTCCCACCACACTAATGTATTGGTCATAGGAGATATGTACGCTTCTGAGCTATGTAGGTTTGTCGTGTCAACGATGGTGGACGAAATCAATCTCATTAATTTGGTATATGATGCATCATCCCTGGTTATCGGACATTCTCATTAATTTGGTATATGCATCGTCCCTGGTTTTTCCAGAGCTGCCATCCTTCCATTAAACCATAATTGAACATTAAAGCTTGGATTTTTTATTTTATTTTTTTCTCCCGGAGGCAGAGAATTCATCCGGAAGCTCTGATTTTTGGTCTAAAACTGATCTATTTTGGTGGGCTCTTTTGATTTATTGCATGTAAGTGTGTCTATCAATTCACATTCTTGTTTTTTTCAATTTCTTTTCTGTTGGCTACTTGGGGAGTTGGCGCGGGATTTTCTTAATTCCTTTGTATTGTTCTTGGTTTGATCGCTTATAAACTTTTTCAGTAAGATTCATGAGGGAATATATCAAATGGTAATCTGTAGTCTTTTTCCCCACTTGAGATGCTGGAAACTCTGGCTTTAAGCCCTGATAGTTTTAACAGCGATAGAGGAACTTCGGTGCAATTTTGAATTCTGTATTTGGAGTGAAAATGTGGTAACCCTTTTGCTTAAAACATCAGCCGTTTTATTTATCTTTTTTTTTCTGTTCACTTTTGTTTGGAAGGGTGCTTTGCTGTGGTTTAGAAGGGGCACCGCTTTGACTAATTTTTATTTCATTTTCAGCTTTCGGTTTGATTGTTCTTATCAGTGTTTTATAAAGAGCACAAGTTTTATAAGTTTCTTACTGAATTGGGCTTTGAACCCTTGATCAGATGAGGTTATGAATGTAGTACATTGTGAAGAGTTAGCAGAAGTTGATTATTATTCTGTTAAAGAGATTATTCTGTTGTTAAAGAGCAATGCTGGGTCATTGCCTTATCCTTATAGTTATCCAGTGATATGAAATGACTTTACAATTGTAGAAGCGTCTCAGAGTGTATCTATTTATCAATGAATTTGCAGACTTGTTTATCTGAGCCCGTAAGTAGCCATGTAAAGATGGCATAACTTGGATGTAGGCTTTGTTATGGATATGGTTGGATATTTGTTATCTCTTTGGCTTGAGAGCGCCATTTACTGGCTGGCCCCTATTGATATTGTGGAAACCTAGGAACTTCAGGATTACTAGATGTTACTTTCTGATCCGCTCTTGTTATTTTTGCGCACTGCAACATTGTGCTTTGTACGTGTTGGTATCATAGATAATCGACAAACACTTGGAAATGAAATTTTCCGAAAGCCCTGTCAGCTTGTTCTTCTACCAACTGCTCTGCGTTATGCTGTGTCCCTGTATCAGAAATTTCGGAATGAAGACCTTGACACCTAACTGATTTGTTCCTGATGTTTAAAATTGAATCTTATTATGCGGGCTTTAAGCATGTGACGGTTGAAAGGAAGAAATAAGTTTCTTAGAATCTTTTTAAACTTGTATGGCTATGCGGTTGGAGGTTTACCCTCTCACAAGTTTGGTTGCATTTGTAGGAGGAATTAATTGCTGCTTACATATAGTATGGACAATAAAGAAAACCATTTATAGGTGCTGTATAAGGATCAGCAGTTAATTATAGTACGTTTGTTTTCTTTGTAGCTTGATGTGCCTTACTTACCTTCCAAATGATGGGATAACATGTTACCAATAAGATTTTGTGGAATGTAATGTCACTCCAAATTGCACGAGTCTTGTGAAATCTGTTGATTTAGTGGAATGCAAGCTAGATGTTCTCAAGTTTAGGAGGCAAAGTTTTGCTACTTACAAAAAAGGCAAGTTTATTTCCTTGGGCAAGAAGTTGACAGGAATTACAGACGCAGTTTTCTTTCAATAATACTACTTATCTCCTTGTAAAAAACTTGTCCTTTTGCTCCGTGTTAATCATGATGGCTTCCGAAGAATTGTAGCGCAACTGAAAGCCTGAAGCTTCTGTTTGGCTGTGTAAGGACATATCTCTCTGACTTGTCTTGCCTTTTAGAATTAACTCTGTTTACAAAGTCCTTGAATTTTGCTAAGAACTAGAATGATAAATCTTAAGGCTATGACTTTCAATGGCTGTGACCAAGGATTCGGGGAATTGTAACTTTGAGACATCTATTTCAAAAGATAAAGTAGTTGGAGTTATAGCAGTAATAGGCTGTTACTTGTAGGAATTGGTGCTTTTGCTCCTTGCTTGCAGTTTTTTTTGTTCGTCTGAAGGCTTTGATGGTTTATTTCCAATTTTTGCTAGCTAGGTGTTTTGTATCTTACGTTTGAAATTTATATCTCTTGAAACTTAAAATCCTATCACTGGTCTGGATGCATATTAATCATTTTACTACACATTTGGGTGCAGATAGACGGAAGACTGAAGTAATCGAACAGCTGGTCTAGGTGAAGTTATGAAACTGGTAATGTATTGTCATTTGCCACATGGGAAAGGATTTTTGCATCATTGTTCAGAATTTGAATCAAAACTTTCCCATATATTGGATAACTGGTTTTGTATACAGGCTCTCCATGGTCCCAAAGCTGGTGCATCTAAGCTGAAAGAGTCAAAGACAAAAGGTTTGGCCAATGTCTCAGTTCCATTTTCATGTTACCTTCTCTTTTTTAGTACTCTATCATTCATGATCAACACTTTGGGAAGGAACATTTTCTTCGTCAACTTAATAGGTTGGACCGTGTCATTTCTGTAGCTTGAGATGCATTTACTAAGCTTACCAGACTGAAGTACTTCTGACTTGTAGCATCACACCTCTAGTGTAAACTCTGTGTCTCTTTTAAAAATTTCTGTATGTTTGGCAGGAAATGTTGAGGATGAGGTGTCTCAAAACGGAAAGCTAAATCAAATGAAAAGTAACAAAAGCAAAAGTGTGAAGTCCCATTTTTCTGACTTACTAAAAAAGAAGTCCCTATCTTCAGTAAGTTATTTATGCTATTAACGACTATTATTGCTTATGCTCGTTATGCATGTTAAATTAAAATAACAAGAAAGTTCATTGATGACTAATCATGATTTATCCGTTTGAGGGTGCTTAAAAAAGGAGACTAGAGCATGGAATGTGGAGATGTTAAAACGCATCTATAGTATTATGGAGAATCATTATGTTATATTGCCTCCTAAAGCTGATGAGAGTGGCTATTAAACCAATTTACTGCATGAGTTCTTATGTTTTTATTAATCGGGCCTTCATAAAGGTCTGACATTTAATGTTTTCACAATCTTTATTCATTTGGTTCCTGCTTGCAATTTTTTGCCTCAGGTGAAGTCCCCTGCAAAGGAAGTAAATGGAACTTCTACAACAAAGAAGTCTCAGAAGAATAACTTGGAATCAGTTGCGCCTTAGGAAGACATGAGCAAAAAGAGGAAGAGAGAAGAGGAGCAGAAGAAATCCGAGTCTAAGAGCATAAAATCTGTGAGTGTCTGCTTCTTTTTTTCTTCTTGGGGCTTGAATGTACATGCTCCTTTCCATCTATATTCTTTTTTCCCCTTGTTTGACTGCTAAGAGTTGTGTTTTATGTTTGTTACACATAGGCAAATCAAAAGGAAGGGCACAAAAAGGATAAAACAGCTATAGAGTTGAGAAAGCAGTTTGGTTAAATTTTCTATAATGATTGAGATGCTTCTACCTAAGTATTTGAATTTCTGTTTTCTGGGATATTGTATTTGTGAGTTTTAGTAAAATTCTTCACATACCTTTTCTCAACGACTATGACTTATAAAATCAAGATGCTTTTGCCCAACTAGTAAAATTCGCAAGCCATATCTATACTATGACCATGAATTTTTTTGTATATGCATAGAATTGTATAGCTTCTAATCATTTGTTTTCCCCTCCCCGGTTTTAAAGATCTTCATTTGTCAACCTTGTTCTCCGAGGCTATATATTGACTTCTGAGATTGATGGGACCATTCAAATGAAGAGTTATCTGACTGGAAACCCCGAAATCAAATTAGCCGTTAATGACGACCTCACTATTGGAAGAGGCGGGAATTCAGTTTATGGTATGTTTAAGATCTTAACTATCTTTTGAAGTCCCATTACTCAAATTTTATCCTACTCTGATCAGTAGCTCGTTGTAAAATAATAAAAGCTTATCAACTTACACACTTTTGTGTAATTTAGATTTATTATATTTTCCTGGATGGTCAAGATGATTTTGTGTTCTGTATCTGTTTGACGAAAATGTATATGCCTGGTGACAGGTTATGATGGTTCATCTGGGTCAGGCCCAGTAATACTGGACGATTGCAATTTTCATGAGTCTGTACATCTCGATAGTTTTGATGTGGACAGGACACTTTACCTGCTTACTAATACAAGCTGGCTTAAATTCCCTAATTTGAATGTTTTTAGCAGTTATTCTCTTCATCTGAGATGGGTTTTTCTTTTTCTGTGTTTTCAAATGAATAATCTGCCAGGTTCCTCCAGATGGTGAGTTTCCAGTAATGAATTATCGCATAACCCAAGAATTCAAGCCTCCTTTCCGTATTAACACTTTAATTGAAGAAGCTGGACCACTCAAGGCAGTATCCGTGCATGCAATTGGATTGTTAGCTAGATATGAGTTTTGGTCAAAGTTTAGCAATCTACTCACAAGGAGTATCTGAACATTGCTTGCTAATTAAATACAACTTTTCATCTCTCTACTTATGTAGGCTGAGGTCATCTTGAAAATTCGTGCCGAGTTTCCTTCTACCATTACTGCCAATACAATTGCAGTGCAGATGCCATTGCCAAAATATACGATGAGGTAACTTCGTGTTTTTTTTAAAATTTTTCTTGGTAATGATGCATCTCCCTGTTGCTTATTTTGGGTTAATTGTTAAGGGTGTAATTTAACGAAACTAATATAGTTTATAGTAAATGCCTTTGTTTACAATAGAACCTCAAATTTCTATCTTGTAGAGATATATTAATGTGTTTGCCTTTAGGAGTTAGGCTATGAAGAGAAGGGGGGAATTCTGAGTAGTAAGATGAGAACAGTGCCCTTCACCAGTGGGCTATCTTCGTTCTTGATATTCATTTTAGCTTATTTGTCCTCCAAATAGTTTCATCAGTGGATAAGATGGAGGAAGTTGTCTGGTGAGTTGTGTCAAGAATAAGGTTCCTGTGCCATTTAGAATTTGATAACACCTTGTATCTTACCCTATGGCATTCATTTATACCTTTTCCATGCCCTTTGTGCATTCTAGGTGCTCAGTCATCTTTTTTCTTTCTTCAGAGAGACTCCTGGGAACTATATAGCGATAGTAAATTCTCACATAGCCTGGGAAAAGTCTTTGTTGCCGTAGCCCTTTTATGTTGAACTTGATTTTGATGAAGTGACTGCAGTGCCATTGGATTCATCTGCTGAGAATGATTTTTTTCTTTTGTTATGTAGTTTTTCACACTTTACCTCTCCTTTCATTCAGGGTTAGTTTCGAGTTGGAACCAGGAGTAGTTGGACAGACAACTGATTTCAAGGAATCAAATATGAGAATGGAATGGACTTTAAAAAAGGCAATCTTCTCCTTTTAGCATTTCTTAGATATAAACTACTGTATGAAATACAAGGTCATGTTTTGAGGTTTTATTGGCTATCATTGCTGACATTTGTGTTTTTAACAGATGGCTGGTGGATCAGAACATACCCTACGTGCAAAGCTAACTTTTCCACAGGAATTACATGGTATGTGTTTGATGATGATTCTTTAATAACTTTGTGCCATGATTCTCTCTCCAAGTTTTTCCATTTTATATTATTGGCTAAAGGGTTATGCGTTAAACCCAAATTTTGGTGTTTCTGCTTATTGATACAGGAAACATTACAAAAGAAGCTGGACCTGTGAGCATGAACTTCACCATACCTATGCATAACCCTTCAAGGCTTCAGGTAACCGTCAATCTGCATATTCTGTGCCTCCTTTCTCTTCCTTTTTGCGGGGTGCTTTTGATAGATATTCTTCAGTTCAAAAAGGTGTTAGGCTTATTACAAACCAAATTTCATTGTTGATCCTCAATTTTTCTTTCGAGACAACTATGGGTATGATATCATCTTTACTATCCCTTACCCACAAATTATTAATTGTACCCGAAGATAATAGAAAGTACGAAAGCATGTCTTGGGATACTTTGTGGATTGAATTCTGTGTGTTGAATGACAATTGTTCATGAAGTTGACTCACTGGGAACGAGTTGTGGTGCAGGTAAAATACTTACAAATAGCAAAGAAAGCTAAAGGCTATAACCCATACAGATGGGTGAGTTATGTCACCCAAGCTAATTCTTATGTTGCTCGTATATAGAGATTGGAATGTTATCTAGCTGAGATTTCATTCCCCCACCCCCACACACACACTTTCGAAAAACTTGGGACATTATGGATGATGGGTAATTTTTGTAGATCTGTTCTATAGAATTCTCAACAATTTTCAATTCTTTGGTTATTCTTCTATTATTTGTTTTTCCTGGTTAAGGTCTCCGATTATTTCACTTTATTCTTTGGGTCATCAATTTTTATTTTGCGCGATTATTCAGAAATGAAAAATTCCTGAAATTTGTAACTTTTGAATGTGTGAATAGAGCAAGACTACGAAGTCTATAACATCGTTGCTCCCAACTCTTACATCATATATATTTGCCTTGATTGCGAAATTGTTCAAAGGAAATTTGAACTCAGAAATCTTGCTTGCATGGGAGGGGGTGAAAACCCAACAAAGCTATAGTCTCAGGTGATCTACGAGGCTACCCAAACTTCCGGTGGTTGCGTTCTTGCCAAATCATATACACAATGGTATCAAGTAAACACGATAAACCACATTGATTAGGTGTTTCCTCGCCCCTTAATTACTAGATGCCCACTGCACACCCAATTGCCATGTAGAGTAATGCCAAGAAAATCTAACTTCACGCTTCAATATGCTTAAACATCTGGAAGAATAAGTACATTGAAAAAGAGGTGATTATGAGATTCATCAGCAACGTTACAAAGTACACATGTTCGATGTAGCAAAAAACTTGTTCGGCTCGTCGAGCCAATAGAGCAGAAAGTGTTTATATGTCTTTTTAAAAGAGAAAGCGAATAAACAAATAGGAATTGACCCAAATATTTCAACTATATATAAAAGGGTAGCCTTATTGCCAAAACAAATTTTAGGGTCCAAAACAGATTTTGTGTCGTTTACCTAATATACCCTCAACTACCTCGAAAATCCAACTCTGTACTCTCCCTTCTTTTATCCGTATTCTCCAGATTTTTCTGTACAACACCCACCGTTCGATCGTCTCTACCAATTCTCCTTTAAAATTTTTTTTTCCGAATGCATTGAAAACTAGGAACGCCGCTTTGAGTTGGAAAGGGATAACAACTATTTTGATTGTGATTTTGATGATTTTGTGGGGTGAAGAAGAGACAATAATTGGATGAGAGTTGAGGGTGGGTGGTTAAATAGTTCAGGGAGAGCAAGAGTTCTTTGACTGCTGTAGAGTGAAGAATCAGCTTAACGGAACGGAGGTGGTGGTGGTGGATTTGGGAAGAAGAGCCGGGAGGCAGGGAGAGGAAGTATTTGAGGGTGATGGTAAAGCAACAACCATGGATGTATCATCCATCATCGTAGGTGGAGGAAGGGTAATAAAAGTAAAGGCGAAGGCCAAGGCGAGGTGGAGGACGAAGTATCGAGAGGACAAACGAAGCGGAGACTGTACCTCTTTGCTTCCCTTTTTTAAGCAATTGTGTTATCCCTAACAGAGAAATTTGAGAAAAATTGGCCTCTTTTTCTGTCATTTTTATTAATTTCTTCAAAGTTAAAGAATTTGAGAGGAGAAAAAATAGATGATGTGTTCTTGGAAATTTGACACAATGGGAAACTTTTGAAGGCATTGAATTCCAGATTCCGGCGTGAATGGGGGGGGAGAGGCAAAACGGAAGCCCTTAATTAGTAGGGGTATATTAGGTAGACAACATTAAACTGTTTTGGCCCTCTAAAATTGTTTTGGCAATAAGGCCACCCTTTTCTTTTCAGATAGTTTTATTACTGTATGTCTCTACTCTCTCCCTCTCCTCAACTATTCTCTTCTTCTCTCGATTCAGCCACATCTCACCATTAGTCCATCTCAAATCCGCTCCTCTTTTTTTTTTTTTAAATCCAATTTTAGAGCAGTTAATTTTATAACTTTTACATGAAGAATTAGTAAAAGTTTGTGCGTTTACCTTCAAAATCAAAAGGTTGGAATTAGATCTGCTGGGGTTGAGTCCCCTTACTCCATCCCCTTCGTTATTGTTTTAAATCTTCTTTGAATTTGATTCGTTGTTGGAACCTTCACCATCTGAAGATTTGAAGGTTTGTTTTGACCAAATTCAAGGTTTAATGGCTTTCTTCCATTCTTATTCTTCCGTTTTTTTTTTTTTTTTTTTAAAAATCATTTATGTCTTCCAAGAGTAATTGACCCCGCTCTCCTCTCTTTAGTTGGGTTGATGCAATCTTGGCTTTCCTGAACTAGAAGATGTTGTGAATGGTGTTTTGGGTGTTTTTTTTTTTGTTGGAAGGGGCTGTCTGGATTGGTGATTTCGGGCCCCGTCGAGCCGAGCTCGGAGCCTGTCTCTGAACTTTGTCTTAATTTACATTTGAGAATTGGTCATGTTGATGTGAAGCTCAAATTGTTTGTAAATCTTTTTGTTAGGAATTCGTCAAAATTGTTTGTAATTTCTTTTTAATTGCTGATCTTTGAGTTTATTGCTGATATTTATATTTTGTTGTGTAGAATTCTCAAGCTGTAATGGTCGATTTAGTTATAAATGTTAGATTGATGGATTCTGACAGCAAGAAGTTTGGAAGAGGTAACATGTTCTAACTATCAGGTTTCTATTTTTAATTTTGTCCCACAACTATCTCTCAATATCAATCCTGTCTGTGGTATTATGATCTTGTTGAGGGTATATTTGTTTCATTTTTTTTTTGTGTATTTTTAGGTGTTTTTTTATATGAGAAATGTAAAAAGGTGTGTTGAAAATGTAAAAAGGTATGTTGGGATGGGACCGTTATTAATAAAATAAACTGAAAAAACCATCAATGAAGGTCCTGTATTTTGTCTAAAAGAACTTTCTTATGTGTTAGTTTCTTTGTTGAATTTAAATTCAATGAAGGTCCTGTTTTTTCTGTACATCTTGATGCCCCACACTCCAACGAAGTTGGGAATACATGGGGTATGTTGTTGTAATATCCGTGTTAAATGATGGGCCAGACTTTTCGGCCAAAACTGTAGCGAGTAGATGAGGTTTTCTCTTTGTTAAAATTAGATGTTTGTGTCCTGTCTCATAGGTTTTTGTTTGTTCAAAAGGCTTACCAATATGCAAAAATGTTATGACGAAGCTAATGATTTTTTATAATTAGCCTGTGTACAATGGGGAAATGATTATTTACTAGTTGGACTGCTGAAATGAGAAAGCTAATATTAGTCAAACTTTTTACTAGATATATGTGTACCGGTGATATCTGGCTTAGCTAGTGTGTGGATAGATGAGAATAGAGGAGTTTATAGTTGAGGAAAAGAGTAGACTAAATTGTTAGCTTTTGTCTTTGCAAAGCCTTGTCCTTCAATGTCGTGATTGAGCGAAAGTTAAATCTACGTGTCTGGTGGTTTAGGCATCTCCATTTAGCCTTGAATTTTGTAACTCTTATGCAGGAAGAGGACAGTTGAAGTAGTGAGAAAGTGTTAGCCATGTTTTGAGAGTCAAATCTCCTCTGAATTGAGCGATTTGGACTATTGCTCTCCTCTGGATCTCTTGATAAATCATGATTAAGAACACATGTTCAAACATAATTTCCATTTCATTATGTCCTGTTTTTATGCAACCCTAGATTATTTATTTATTTTTCTTAGTTAATGAGTTCCATAAACCCTTTGCATTGACCAGTGAATTTTATATCAACACATTGCATTGAGCAGTGAACTTTATACTGTGTCTGAAGTATATGGAAGTAGCCTTGTTTACATATTGGTGCAATTTTTTTTTTGGCTTTGTTCATAGCTTCTTTGTTTGGTGCTATTATTAAACCAGGTCCGAGAGAGTTGACAGGCGCTGTCGACCTTTTAAGTTATTACAAACTTTTGCCGCAGCATGAGTATTTCTGTAAGAAGTCACTTCCAGTGGCCATTTCTGATACGCACTATCTTCACAATGTGGTGGGAGATACAGAAATCAGGAAAGGTGAAGGAATGCAATTGGATCAACTGATCCAAGATGGTTCACTTTCAAGAGAGACAAATGCACGGATACAGCCTTTTGATTTAGATGTTCTCAGAGAAGCCTTCCAGTTCAGGGAAACGGCTCCAGTTGACCTACCTTCTGTAAGATTCTTCTATTTCTGCATTACTTGATTCAGTGGTGACCGTTTGCTTTGCGTCCATGGTGTATGTTTCCTTATTTTATTTTATTACACCCTTACCCAATTTTTAAGCAAGCGTTGATTTCTTGTGCTGTATTTGAAGTCGGAGAAGGGTATTCCTACAATAGCTGGAAAGTCTAAAAGTGAGTCTAAAGACAAGGATAAGAAGCATAAAAAACATAAAGACAAGGATAAGGAAAAGGACAAGGAGCATAAAAAGCACAAACATCGGCATAAAGATCGAAGCAAAGATAAAGACAAGGAGAAAAAGAAAGATAAAAGTGGCCATCATGACTCAGGTGCTGAGCATTCAAAGAAACATCATGAGAAGGTAATTTCTGTTCTTCGTTGCAGCGCTTCTTTAGGTACAAGACAGTTCTGAATGTTGTTATAACACATATGAGTTTGCCACTACAGTATTAGTTCTCGTGGATGGCCTTTCGTGAGTAAAACGCGGCTATCTGAACTTTGACTTTGAGATAAATTTTCTTTGATCCATTATGCCTAAATATGTTATTTGACATAAAATCTTGAAGTTGGTGCACTGGATATTTAGATGTCTCTTATCTTTCAAATGGTTAGCTAAATTATTGCCCAATTTGAAGATTTTCTTTGTTCAATGATTATAGAAAAGGAAGCATGATGGAGATGAAGATATTAATGACATACACAAGCACAAGAAAAGTAAGGTAATAAGCGATTGGCTTCTTCCTTCGTGCAGAACTTTTTTTTATTATTTTTTTTTCACAGTTTTCACCATCTGTTCTCACTTTGATATTTTCAAATATAACTGATAATGACGGGGTTTTCACAATTTTGACAATTGCAGCATAAGAGCTCAAAGATTGATGAGATGGGTGCAATAAGGGTTGCAGGCTGACTAAGGGAGGTTTGATTTGTAAATTTTTAAGTCCTCAGATGTTGCAGTTGAGAATTAAAAGGAGTCTGTTACTTTCGCTCAACTCCAATTATCTGAGGTATGGATTTTGCTCTTCTGCAATGTCCTATTTAGAAGTACTTGTGAGATAGTGGAACTCTTTTGGCATGATAATACCTGGGCATTTTAGAAGTCTCAGGCATTTGAGAAGTTCATTTTTATGGTTTTCATTTGGCTAATGATATTAGCATTATACACACTTTGGCCTCCTTTCCAGCGGATATGATGGGAAATAAGTACTTGGGTGGGTGAGGTTAATGCTAGTTTTTCCTGTTTTGACAGTTTATATGGCAGAAGAATGCTGTTATTTCAAATCTGGAACCTGCATATCTCTTTCTAAATTGAATCTAGAAATGTAAGATAAAAACTGCACAATGATACGTTCTGGCAAGTTTGTCTTATTTGTGACTTTCCATTAACACCTATTATTTTGGATAGTGATATGTTTGTAAAATTTAGTGTGTGTATGCGATTTGTCTTGTAGATTGGGTTTTCGTCCTTGTAGTTTTGTCTTTATAATCAATCAGTTCATATAGTTTTGACAAGTAAGAGTCCTTTGCTGACCAGTTTCATGTTAGTGTTTGGTGGCAATGTTAAATAATTGAATGCGTGGTTATCGTAACTGTTTGTAGATCAGTTTCTTTTATCTACTCCTGTTTTTTATTTGCCTGCAGAAGTCTGTGGATTAGCTAAAAGACTGCCCAGATTTTGAGCCGAAGGTTTGAAACGCTGAGAATTAGAAGTAGTGTATAATTGGAAGTGACATTGGAAAATGTGAATTCTTGACTTCACGAGGCATATTTCAATAGCAGCAGTAGTTACCTTTTCTCTCTTTCAACCCCATGGTGCTCTCTCCCTTGAGGATCCCAATTAAGTTTTGCGCCTAGTTTTAACCAGTTTGCAGAATAGACTTAAAGATAGCCATTGTTTCTTTGTTCTCTTTCTTTCTCCTTCATAATTTGTAGAAATCGTTAGTGTTTTTTTCCAAAGGGTTTATAGTAGATTTCATTTGTTGTATAATGGATGGATTGCAAACGGTTTGATATTGTAAATATCAGGATTGTAGTTTAAATCATTTCAGAGCTACTTGAAATTTGGGAACATGACAACTGATTCTATTCAAATTCTCACACACACAAAACACATTATTTAGTACACTTTTAATTAACTAGTGCTGAGCATCTTTTATAAAGAATTTAGTATATTGAATTTAATTTTTGGGCAAACGAGGAGTTGGTTCAGTGGTAACACCATCCTTGCTCCAAGAGGATGTCAATAGTTCTATCCTCCCTTTAACAAAAAAGTGAGGGATTGGCTCTTACTTCGCTTATTGGTACTTTTAAAGGCTTGTTATGGTTAACTCACTAATGAACCTTCTATTTGCACCCGAGTTTGTTATTCTGGATTTGTCAAGGGTGGTTTATCTCCTACTGTGTTTTACAGATTATTGCAGTGGGCATGGGTTTACCCATCTCTAGTGGGGTTCCCGACGTTAAAAGAAAAATTAATTTTCGGAGAAGTTTGATAATGTTAAGATTGGTTATTTGTAATGCGGTGTTGAACGACAACTAATAGAAGTCGTTAAAATGATTATGCAACTAAATATATATTGTGATAAGTGAATTCTAGCAATTGCAATTGTGGAATCAAATGGACAAAAGATTAATGTGTATATGATGACTACGAATAGTAGTATAATAAAAGATTGAAAGTGAAACAATTGGCCTCATCGAAGACCTCATCCCGCCTGAGGCTGTAAATAAATGGAAAAGGTTAATGTAATACTACGGTAGTTTTTTACTTAAATAATTTTTAATGGAAGAATTTGAACAAAAATATATGTCCCGGAGTGGTATGGATAAATGGATAGATTCGGATTTGGCAAATCCGAATCTACCCAATAAAATTGATTCATCACATAGTTGTAATACAAGGAGATTCAGATTACAAAATGGATAGATTCGGATTTGACAAATCCGAGACAACTAATTTTATCAACCAAAAATAGAAAAAAATTATTTTTGTCCACATATTTTTTTTGAAAACTTTGTTGGCCGAAGCACCCAATGCCACGGTCAGTAAAATATGATATTAATTTTTTTTTTCTTACTATATATCAAGAAGGTGATTCTGAAAGACTGGAAACTGAAATTTCAAGATCTCATTCGGGAATTACAACTGATCTGTAATTCCTTGAGACAAACTTTTCAAGTAACATATATTAGCCGCTTAAAACGTAACTCGGTGAAAGACTTCTACACTAAAACTAGATTACTAAACAAATCTAATCTAAAATAAGACTTTGGAGTCCTAATTGAAGGAGACAACCAATATGAATCAATTATCTAAAAACCAACTTTGTGAACTAAGATAAGGCTCCGTTTGGTTAGATTGAATTGTAATTGAATTATAATTATAATACTATTGAATTAAAATTGAGATATTAAGATTTCAATTCAATCCTAATTCTTTTGTTTGGAAGATTTTAATAATTGACTAGAATTAAGGTTCTAATATCAATTCTTGTGTTTGGATCCTTATAAATTTATAAAATCTAGAATTAGAATTAGAATTAGAATTAGTTTTTTATTATATAACTCTAATTTAGTACTTTATTTCATTGAATAAAAGAAATACTTAATTTTACATATCAAAGCAATTTATTACTTACATATATAAAATAAAAAAAAATTATGTACATTTATATTAGAACTTTTGTTGTATGAGTAATATATATCAATTATATAATTTATTACTAGATACATACATACTTGTGGAAATTTTTTTTTTTATTATTACCTGAGGAGTATTAATGTTATGATTGGAATTCTCACAAGTAACATGTAGAACATCCTTGTTTCTCTCTTTTTAATTATTTTATAAATTTTTAATCTTTAGTTTTTTTCTATGGGTTTAAGTGGAAAATTTTTATATAGTTGAAAGTAAAGATCATTCATTTATGTATAGATTAACATTAATACATGGTAATAATTAATTAATTATTTTTAGTATATAATTAGATATGGAAGAATATATATTTCGAATTCTTGAAAACATATATAATTTTTAGTGAAAAAAATTTCAAGTGTAGTTCAAAATTATTTATATGGTTGATAAAAAAAATTTATTAACCCACAATTAATACCTTTAATTTTTTAATAAATTACGGGCATGGTCTTACATGATGGAGTGTCAAATCCACACAAATAAAATAACCTACTTCAAACTACTGTAATATTGAGAAGTAAGGTCGTCTCCTCAAGGAACGATGGATTGTTTCCTTCAAATTAATGCAAAGGAGATTTTTGGATTGTTTTTCTAAACTAAGATAATCAAATACAAATAAAAAAAAACTAAATAAAAGTAAAGAAATCAAAGTAACAGACTTCTGACTCAAGGGACAGATAACTCAATTATTTCATTAATCATAGGCTACTAAAACTACTCTTGTAATTTAAGCATTCAACCAAAAATCTATTCGGATAGCCGTAATAAATCAATTAATCTCCCTAAATTAACTAACGAAGCCTAGCACTCAGTTAGTCGTTATCATAATTTGGCTGGGCAGGATAGCGTTCAATACCAAACTATGACAGCATAAATACCAAGGAAATATAGTTGAACCAAAATCTAAACAATTGAGATAGCTGCAACTATTAAGACTTTGCCTCATTGATTCCACATTTAAACTAACATGCATATTCAATGTCTCACCAATACACATGCTTTGTCTAATTGCTACTCAGTACCGCCGGTTCGTGTCTATTACGTAACATTCAACTAGCAGATAGCACTAGAAAATAAATAACAAATCAAGTTGTCAATTTGAATGATATCTACTTTCATAACTCAATACAAGAATCAATAAATACTTAAATCATAGGCGAAAATAATAAATTAAGAACAAAACCTCATAATGAAATAATTGGATAAATCCCTTGAATCAGAAAAGAAAACTTAGCCACTCATAGTTGGAAGTATGAAGGCTTGATTCTCCATGGAAAACAAAACTTGATTCCCTAATCCTCCAGTTGACGAGAAGAAAAAGGTGATTGCGGATGTCGACAAAGACAGACGTTACGCAATTGATGCTTCAGTCGTGGGAATCATGAAAGCTAGGAAAGTATTGGGTTACCAGCAATTGGTTATGGAAACCGTCGAACAATTGAGCCGTATGTTTAAACCCGATGTGAAGGCTTGATTCTCTAAAATAGAACTAAAAGTATATTTATATGGGAAATTTAGGTCAGCCGCTGGAAAAGAAGAATTAGTCCATGATTTGCATCTTTGGTCCCTCAAGTTTGCAGTATTTTCACTTTTATCCCAAAACTTCTTCAATTTTGCATTTAAATCCATGGTCGTCCGAATTCATCCGAAACAGCTCCAATCTCTTATTTCCAGCTCCTAACAAGAAATAATAACCAAAAACAATGAATTAAATCCATCCGAATCCATAAACTAATAAAATATCAACAATTAAAACACAAATTATGGACTCTATCAAATTCCCCCACACTTGAAGTATGCTTGTCCTCAAGCATTAAGAACACATGAATTCTAAACTTTCTCTTATTTAAGATGCGCCTTAGAAACTCTAGCACTCAAAAGAAATCATAGTAACAGCAAAACAAAAATTCACAACCAAGTTAAATACATTATGTACTTTTACCCTTTAGCCCTTTGTGTGTGAATGTAAACCATTCCCTAGGCACATCACTGTCACACATAGCATAAAATACAAAAATTCAAATGCAAATATGCCACTGAAGAGTGAATTTAGGATCCCCAATTCAGACTGTATTTCAATGTAATGTTACTCCTACACATATTATGAAATCGAAGGCTTACAATTACACCTCACATAATATAATTCAACGCACTTCCCTCGTACCCATTCTTCAGTGTCCATATGGCTTTTCTTCAGGATCTTTCCCACTCAGGCC